TAATCACCGAATATAATAACATAAGTACTAAATATAATGACATAACCACCCAATATAATAAAAAAAAGTATCATAAGACAGTTCTGGCATTCCATACATAGTCTACAAATATGCGCATGTTAAACTTTTTCCTGATAACTGAAAAGAAAAAGCTTCTTGGTAGTAATTTATGTAGTATTAACAGCATTGTTGTTCTTGAATGTGGCAAATGGTCAGAAATAGATTCACGTCTTTGAACAGCACTCATTTGTGGCCATACTTTTTATTCTTACTGATACATGTAGTCTTTAGAACTGGCAAAACTTGCAAATTATTTGGGGTCCAAGCTTGCATTGCAGATGTAGAATTTCAAGTACTGCTTAACAGGGGAGGTGTATGTTAATGTTCATGTTTAAGAAAGGAACATTCATTTATCAGGATAAATTGGAATTGGGAAATCTTTTTGCCAGATAGTCACACCACTTATACAATCTCAGGTTATTTGAATAAATTAAATAGTTTTTTTTTTATGTTTCGATTTTTTGTCTTGCAGAGGATGATAAAAATAATCAGTTTCTCCAAAATGACGGTACTTCACAAAAGTTGTCCAGAGATGAAATTATGAATTTGAAAGCTCAAGGAGTTAGTGGCAAGGTAAACCAAAAGCCATTATATACATTATATAATTATAAACTTTTGAGCCCAGATAAAGTGTATATCTGTACAGTACCATCCACCTGATAAAATTAAACTTTCCAGTCGATATGTGTATACAACTACATTTACATCTAACATGTACAATGTAACCATGCTATCCTCACCTGGAGCAATAGAACAATCCCTTAACAACTAGAAGGAGAATTTGGGAAAACTAATTTCGTAATAGCTGGTGGCAATTCACTATGCAATACCTACCACCTCTTATGCAGGTGCCATGTCTCATTGACAGTAGTGGAAGCACTGGTATGTCCTCTCAAATGAGGTTTATGAGTAACTGTTGATTTTTTTTCCAGGATATTGTTGAACACCTTGTGGAGAACAGTGCCACCTTTAAAGAGAGAACACAGTTTTCACAAGCGAAATACAAGAACAAGAAACTGAAAAAGTAAGGTTTTTTAGACTATGATATGGTTACAGTCTGCTATGATAATAATTATTGGTAACTATAGTAATGTTGACGATTTTTTTTTTTGTGAAGTTTATATGAAATAATTCATATATGAACTGCGGTTGTAGGTGAAAGTGAAGAATGATCATCGCANGAAATCGTATCCATAAATTGATACAACTTCGGGTTTTTCAACTTGTTTCACCGTTTCTTAATACATGTTTTTGCATCGTTGACTTTCAACCACACGTCGACAGAAAATAAACAAAGGCTTTCTTATTGATATCGGCCACATAACCGAATGTCTGATTGGATCTCTGTTTAACCAATAACAAACCACGACAAAAGCCTCCCGGTTTTCCCGCTAATTTCCCGCCCCTGCGTGCCATTTCGTGAGTGATAGTAAGATTTACAATGGGGTGGGGGGAGGAGGAAGTCATTTTAGGGGGGGTTGGTAGATTTTTTTGGTGGGGGTAGGGGGTGGGGGGTGGTGTCTGGCAAAAAAATCTCCAGATTTTAGATCTCCAGAGATTGGCATCTCTGATAATGGGAACCAATTCTAAAAGAACACTTAATCTCCTGTCATATTTTATTCAGCACAATATCCCAAAAGGTACCATTAAAGCTCCCACTGTGGACGTTTTGAGCCTGAACAACCTGAGAGGTACCAAAACTGCTTTTCTAACCGCTAAAAGTTACGACAAACACCCCTGTCCTTTTTATATAGGAGTTCTCCCCATGGGGATACTATACACATCAATTGTCACCCCTAAAGTGTGAGTCTCACAGCTGCCTGGACTTATGGATCAATTTCTCATGCCTAGCTAAAAATTTGAGCTTGTACAGCCTTAATCATAACAATGACAATTTCCTCAAATGTGATTGGTGCATAAACTGCTGTATTTTCCTCTAATTAATCTGCAAAGTTGTAATTGGACAGTGTAATCTGACAGTTGGCTGTAATCGGACACCTGTAATTGCACAGTTACATGGGCCAATCATTTTAAGTCCTCTCCACTAAATCCACCAATCACAACATTGATTACAATCACTATAGTAACCAATTCAAGAGACTGACTTTGTAAAATTGTGGAGGTTTAGTCTCTGGTGACTGTTTTGGAAGAGACTTGACAGCCATTTTGCAAGCTGTTCTCCATATTTCATTTATGATATTCAAAAATGACTATTAAAAGCTCTTTTTCAAATGAAACTTTTACATTTGTGGGAAATTGTAATTGTTATGATTAATTGGTAACAGGACATCATGTTGTCCAATTCAGTCTGTAATCATACTTGTGATTACAGACCGAATTGGACTCCACTCAGTCCTATTACCATTATTAATTGACACACATGCACGTACATGTAAACTAAAACCAGAGCAAGAAATGAAGAGCCTGTGTAAATGGCTCGACTTCCTTCAATTCTCCAATTCCAGAAGGACAAATTACTTGGGTTGATATATGTTGGGGAAATGCATCCATGGAATGAGACTAGGAAATGTTCAACACATCTCTGGAAATCTTCATTAAGTTGTTGGAAATCTTTGGATGTCATTTGATACAGTCAGGTCATTTGATACAGTCAGGTCATTTTGGAAAATTGTGCAGTGTTGTACTACCAGGTTATAAATTTCATGCTTTTGACTTGAAAAAAGGTTTACAGCATTGCTATATTGCCATACCATAAGACAAAGTTCCATTGCTCTGCTTTATTTCAACAAAAGAGTTCCATAGATTGAGATGTTCAAGCTAGACCTCAGACACTGGACAGTTATACGTCTGTACAACACATATATACATACAACTATCTGTACAGGATGCCTTCAGGGGGGCCAGGCCTTATATACTGAAATATGGATAAATTTGTTGTAGTACTAGTTGTAAAAAGTTCAAAGTGAGCTTGTTTAGAAAATGTTTGGAGTCAATTTGTATTTAGCATTGTACATTCTCTACACAAAGTCTTAGGCTAGTCAGTAAGGTAAAGTTTGCGTATGAGCCACGTGGCCTATCAGGCTGGCGCTTATCTCAGGTTTCTGTAGCGTGAAGCAACTGGGAATATTTCTACTCTCCCCTCGATGGGATGTTAGGACATCACATGGTTACCTCAGTATTAAGTTTGCCGGTACCCATTTATACACCTGGGTGGAGAGAAGCACCGTGAGAGTTAAGTGTCCTGTGCAAGCACACAACACAAAGTCCCCAGCCAGGGTTTGAGCTTGGACTGCTCGATCTGAAGGCGAGTGCACTAACCATGAGGCTGCACCTCCACATTATGCTACAATAGTGAGGAAAAAATTATTAAACAAATTACTGTGATGCCAGGAAAGATTGTCCCTCATTTGATTATAATTTGATTATTTGTGTTCCATCAGTGATCTCAGACTTGACACACTATCTCAGATTTTAACCTTGTCAAATGTGAGAGCACGCTGTCGGATGCTGGTAGTAGAAAGTTGTCAAGGGATGGTAGTAGGAGCTCTTTTGGACAGAATGGGAGGTAGGCATATATTTTCTAATTGACACTTTTGACATTCCATCTTTTTAAGTATTTACATGTACACCCACTGTAATCATTTATCTTGTAAACCAAGTACAAGGGCAGTTCTGGGAGAGTATTGACCCTAGGTTTTGTCTTAGGAAAAGCTAGTTAAAATATCTTATAAACTAAGCGTGAGGACCATTCTGGGAGACAATTGGCCCAGGGTCTGATGGTATGGACCCAGGGTAGTTAGGGTCTTTACAAAAAAGGCCAAAGGCTAATATACTCCCAGTACAGCCTTGAGCAAGCTTGTTAATAATAAAGGATTTAATACTCAATCAATTTTTTAGTTTATTTTTTTTTTTAGGTATTAACCCTCATCTTTACCAGAAGCTGTCAATTCTTATCCTTTCTTATTTTAAAGGTTATGGAAGTCTTATCCAGGTCTATGCAGGTGATTTTCCAGGGAGGTAAAAAGTTGCAGAGTTTTTTCTGTGTTTAACAAGTATAAAAACAAAACCAGGACTAAAGACTACTTTCAAAACATTCCTAGCAAAAATTTCTTGTTGTCCCAAAACAGCATTTATAACAGAATTTTGTCAGCCTTGTAACTTATCTGACAAATTAGAGATGACAAAAAGTGGGGAAATGTCTTACATCAGGAAGCAAGATAAATGAGTTGGGAAAAATATATCTGTCTGTAATTGTCTTAAGTAATTTAAAATAGAAAAAAATACTTTTGGATAGTTTATGTATAGCTCTCTATAGGAATACCATGTTCACAATAGTCAATTCCTGTCTTTCTGTTGTTACAGGCAGGCACTGGAGTATTTTAATTTTCCCAAACATTTCATGAAATGTCTAAGTGGTTTGGCAATGGACAAAGTAACAACACTTGGTGAAAGCACAGGTATCAATAATATTATTAAAGCGTCTGCAGTAACAGTGGCCAAATCACAGGGGTGATCAACTTGTAACTTCTTGTCTTCATATCAGTACAAAATCAAGCATTCAAGTAACAAGAAATCAGTGACAGATCAGCAAATTAAGAGATGTTACCGAGATAAGGAAACAAATTCTCTCAACTGATAATAAAAGAAATGCTTGGAGGCCAATAAAGAGAAGTTGTATGTTGTTACTGTGACTTGTATCTTCAAGTTGATACTGTAGAAACAGTTCAATGCAAGCATGTGAACTGAAAAAGTCAGTTTTCTGAAGGATTATAGTGGCCACAAGAATATTTGTCATTCAAATCAGAACAAGATGGAAGAGGTACATTTCTGAGTCACATAAGCATGCAGAAATGTTTTTAAGTTAAAAATTTACAAGGGCATATACATGTGTCACTCAACGACACATGAGGAGCAATTTGACTCTTTCCTTCATATAGTGTTCATGAAATACCGTATGCTCATTCAAACTTGTGACATAAACTGCATGTATTATAACTCCTTAAGTGCGCTTGTGATGTAGTCCCAATGAGGCCAGCGTGCTTTAATCACGTATTTATGGTAAGCCACAGATATAGCAGTTTTTAAATTAAACAGTACGAGTTTAATTCCAAAATGATCAGTTATTCCAGCTTTTGTAAAACCGCTGCAATTACTCTTTGCTTCTGAATGAGGAATATTTCAGTCCAATATATCTATTCTTTGTTGGATGGATGTATTTTCTGCAGAGAATAATTTATTAAAGGCTTGTAGATACAGAATTACAACAGGGAACCAGATGAGCTTCTACTGTAATGAAAACCACTTCCTGATTTTTGAACACTTTGGAATGTATGACATTTTAGGGGATATAACGAAGCCATTGTCCGAGTCAAATGATACAATGGAAAAAGAAGACAAAGCTCTACCAGATGATATTGCAGAAGGCAACGACAGCAGCTCAGGGGAGGAGCAAGGTGGAAACTCCATGACTGAAGAGGTAAAATGACTGACTGACTTACTGACTGTCTCAGACAGGCAGACAGACTCACTGACTGACTGACTTACTGACTGTCTCTGACAGACAGACAGACAGACTCACTGACTGACTGACTAACTACTTGTCTCTGACGGACAGATGGACAGACAGACAGACTGACTGACTGACTGACTGTCTGACCAACTGACTAACTGACTCTCTGGCTGTCTGTCTGACTGTCTGACTGACTAACTGTCTGACTGACTCACTAATTGACCCACTGACTGACTGACGGACAGGCGGACGGACGAATGGACAATCGAACGGATGGATGAACGGACGAATGGACCGACCAACCGTCCATCAGTAGGTCATTATAAGCAATAAGTCCTCAGAAGCTGATATAACCCTTTTCTGTGATTAATTAAAACTTTATTTTATTGTAGGAAAAATTGACGCGGAGATCGCGGAGACAAAACGAAGAATCCCAAGCACGAGAAGAGTTAGAAAGTGGAAATTTAGACAGGTATAATGGTGGTCAGTCATAGTTTGAATTTTTTCTTTCTCAATTCCGCTGTAATGAA